TCAGGAGCGTATAATGACAAATACTGTCAGGACTTGTCATTATACGCTCCTGATTATATACATGTATATATAGTGTGGCCCCGTTACAACGCGATCGTTGCGGTAAAATTTTATCGCGCATGTGTCGCGCTAAATCGGTGTTTAAAGAAAATCAGCATGGAAACTTACCCCCCCCCCCACAGCAAAAAGTCATGTAAACTCATTCTCTTCCCAAGACGCATGGCGGCATGGAATACATGCAAAAATTCAAATTCGGGTCAAATGTTGAAACTTTTGCCGCTTCGCGGTCGATAACCTAAAGGCTTTGAACTTATATAGCAAGGAATGTAAAAAGAAGGAAAACGCCAACTTGTCTTCATAAAATCGTCAGTGTATGCAAGATGCATATTCGCATTGCCCCACGCGGACGCTACGGGTCAAATGTTGAAACGTTTGCCGCCTTGTGATCTATAACGTAAGCGCTTTGAACATTTATAGAGGTTGGTGGACAGAAGAAATATGCCAATTTGCCTGCCTAATGCGTTATTTTGCGTACGCTCCATACATGCCGCGCCCACGGGAATTTCGCATGCTTTCGCCAAGGGTAAGTATAATCGACAGATGAGATCTAACTTTACGCCCTAGTGTGGAGATTAATTTCAGGGAGGAAATGCGGAATTGTGGTACAAATCTAAACGGCTTGACAAAAATGCTCTTGATAATCGGTATATAGCGTCATGGTGGGAAAAGCCATCACTGTGCCGAAATTGGAGGTCACATGTCAAAGGGCAGTGGAGCAAAGGGCAGATTTTAGACATTTCCTGACGACACGGTCTGACGGATCGAGTAAAAACATTTTTGCTCAATGCACCGTGGCAGTGCAAAATTTTTCAGCGAAAGCACCTTGCGTTCATGCAGTAAAATATGACTGAACCAAACTGTTTATTCAAAATTTTGGTCGCTTTGGGACAAATAAAACAGCAATTTTTTCATACATGAAACAAAGGAAAGTTATTACAACTGTGTACTTATGCTCGTTGTAAACATATACAGTGTTAAGGACAAAAGGGCCAGCATGAGGGCACCTTTACATAATACATCAGCTACTTCGCATCTTAATAATGAAACAAATCCCATTGATGTATAACCATGAGCAAAAAATCACTAACCGGGATTAATCATAATCTCGACTAGTCATACTTGTATAATAATATCAGGAGTGTATCTCACTTTGTTCCACCCTGTTCGCGGAGTTCGGCAGGGATTCGCAACTCACAAATTAGTAGTGGGCTCTGACCCGCGCCACGGCTGCGAGTGCAGATAAACAGATGTCGTGTGACATACAGTATAACATAATCCGTGATAAGCAGCTTTCGTTGTGGCGACATTTTGGCAGTTTCGCCTGTCCTGTAATGTAATGTAATTTACATATAAAACATATATATACATGCTTACAGTTTTTATATTTTATAACATCCTTTATTTCCAGAAACACATATGCATGTACGTTACATTATATTATATACGTTATACAAAATATCTACAACACTGTGATGGTAACTTAGTTCAGCGATGGTACAAACAGGTAAACGGCATAAACAGTTTTACAAAGTAGTGCATATATGAGCGTACTATATAGTTATACTTCGTTACAAGAAGTTCATAAATAAAGGTAAGCATAGTAGTAGCTGTAGGCCTTGAGCATGAAAAGTACAATTTTACTAAACATGATGTAATGTTATATATGACAAACATGTATATCCTACTCATATCGTATTATTTACATGCACACACACACGCACGCGCGCACACACACAAACACACACACACACACACACAAAGACACACACACACACAGAGACACACACACACACACACACACACACACACACACACACACACACACACACTACGTTA